GGGCGGTCAGCCCGGAAGGCGGGTGCGCGAAACGCCGAAAACGCGCCGCCCCCGGCCCCCACCCATCTCCCCCCCAATAAAAGCCCCTTTCTCGTCTTCCCAACCCACCTCTGGGGGCCTGGTCCGAACCCGGAACGGCCAGCCGAGCCGCCGAGCAGCGAGTGAAGGAGAGCCATGAAAACTTACCTGCAGTTGCTGAGCTCCCGGGTCCTGGCAGACTCTCTTAGCCAAGGGGCGCGCGACTTTGCTGGGACGAGTGGCTCTGAGAGTACAATGCTCCAGAGACGATCTCCTCGCCAGAGGATGACACAAACAAACCAGCCAAAAAGTGGGAGTGCAAACGAGGCCACACGCTCCGGTGCGAAGGGGCCGGGCGCTGGCGACGCCTCGCCGGCCTGCACGCCCTCCTCGGCGGCGGAGCCTCTCTCGCTGTCAGCGTCTGCTCCGGCCACTTCAGTGTTTGTTCAATGTGCGACTAAAAAAAATGAGGGGGAGCCTCGGGTGGAGGAGGGCGAAAGGTGTCCTTCGTGGGGCACGGGGTAGGCGGGGAGGCAAGCAGGAAGGAAGTTGTGAGCTTGTCTGGGGTTAAACTCAGCGGAACAAGTTTTTCTTTTCTTTTTTTTCTATTGCTTGGCAGAACCGGGAGGGAAACGCTTTAAAAAAAAAGTTTCCATTGTTAGCTAACACACACACCAAAAAAGACTTTTAACTTCTGCGGGTTCAAGATAGACGATCCGTTTTCCACCCCTCGATCGAGGTCTTGCTTATATATCTAGCTTTGTGAAACTGTTAGAAAGATTTTTTAATAAAGTTTGGAGTTTGCGTTTTAAACAGCCAATCGAGACTTTTCTTTTTTTAGCATTTAAACTGGGTGAAAATACTGTATGAAATGGGTTTTGTGCTCTTAAACACAAACATGTTAAAGCAACGAAGGTACATACGGGTACCTCTGCCGAGTTGCAAATGTGAAGTGCATCCACAAAGTATTTCGGAAGATGGGTTGGGCTTTGAGTTGTAGATGATTTTGCAGTGTAATTGCTAGGTGTATAAACACGTATTGACATGCTGCACATTTATAACCAATACATCCAGCGAAAGGGACTTTCATTTGCACCTCCTCAAAAATATTTTAAGAAAAGGCATAGTACTGGAACTAAGGCAGTGTGAGCTTTGTGTGAAACCTGAATACTCCACTCCTGTCGACTGAGTCATTTTCAGGAGGCTTCCTTCCCCACCATCTGCAAAACAACAGGGACCGATCATCACCCAACATGATGGAGCAGGAGATCCTGCACCATTTAAGCGGTGGAGCTGCCAGTGTGGTTTTGCATAATTCCCTAAATCTTAAACTACGATGATTGAGGAGAGGGAAAATACACCTTGAGGTGTATTTTCAAAATTCAAAATCTAAAACCTAAAGTGGTCCTTATGACTAGGCCAAGTCAGCTAAAAATCAGGCGGAAATTTTGACTTGCTTGCAGTAAACCTATCTCTGGCTTGTTTATGTAACAACATTGTTAAAGGTGCCCAGAGCAACTCATTGCTCGATTAGAAAGAGTCATTAAATCTGAAACCAAGAGATCTTCTAACCAAAAATTCCTGGGAATGAGACTCTGTTTCATTTCTATTTTTAAAACTGTATGCCATGGAAGAATTGAGACACATTCCCCACTCCAGATCCAATTGAATAAATAAAACCAGGCCAGATAGTCTTCAGGTATTTTGAGGCATTCCTAAAGCAGAGAAGCCAGCCTTATTAATTCAGTCTCTGATGGGGCCAATGGTAAAGCAAAACAGCTGTGAACTCAAACCTACTCAGAAGCACCTGGGAAGACAGTCCTGGCCATCGGCTTCCAAAAGGCCACAGCTTCAAAAATCCTATGGAGCCATTCTGCTCTGCTCATCTGGGTCACCATGAGTTGGAATGACCTTGACAGCCTTTAACAACAGGAGTGGCAAGAAAGGGGAGTTGCCAGTTCCTAGCATTTGTTTATTATTAGGGAACACTCTTCCAGGAGATGCCAGCATCTATGTCCGATGCCATGGCAGCAGCAAACAGAGAACCTACCAATGTACACTTTGAGCAGAACTACTTCCTGGTCCTTTGGAAAGCCCACCGTCACTGTCCCATGAGACATCCTCAGCCTTTCTCTAAGATCCAGAGACTGAGACTTCCTAGATGTGCAGGCAGTCTTGAGAATCCCCCGTCAGGAGGTTTGTAGAAGGGATTTCGGCCTTGGCTAAAAGAAGGACTAGATGATAATTTTTACCAATCTAAAATTATAGCAATGCCACCAAACCAGCAGGCGATCTGGTGTCAATTTCAGACTTGAGAGGATTAAGAGTGAAGGGGTGGAGTCTAGTCCATAAATGGGGTCACAGACAATGAGGCCTCTGTGTGGGCATGGCCTTCTGCTGAGGGTTCTGGGAACTCCTGTATTTTCCCTACTTGGAGGCAGGAGACACACACTCTCTCTCTCTCTGCTCACTCCCTGAGAGACTATCAACTGACAAGACCCACAGCACTATGCTGATAGACCCGGTGCCCTGGAACTGGAGGAGCCATGTGGAGACCCCTGCCAACGCTGAGATGCTTCTACCGCCACTGGAGCCACAAGACTTTGCACCCACTGGCCTGTGATCTTCCTGCATTCGGTGTCTCTGCATGTGTTTCATGAGTCTCAAGAGGATTTTATAGATTGGTATCAAACATATGAACTAATATCGAGCTTATGGACTTGATCTGGACTGGGCTGGGATGTTTTCTCAATATTTAACTGCTCTTGTATATAAAGCTCTTTCTTATACACACATAAGTGTCTCTGGATTTGTTTCCCTAGTCATCTCAGACTAACACGGAAGGGATTTCTGTCTTGGGCTGAAAGTAGGACTAGATGATAATTTTTACCAATCGAAAATTATAGCAGTGCCACTAAACAGCAGGAGTTAGCAAAAAAAAAGGCGGGGGGACAAAACTCACACCCAGCAGCTGTCATGGTCTGCTTGCATCCAGAAGCAGAATCCAGTTGGCTTCTATGGTCTTAAATGAACTATTAACAATTATAAAATACCTTTTATTTGCCATAGGAACCTTGATGATGTAACAGATTAACCCTTGGACTACTAATCTAAAGGCCAACTGCTCCAACCCGCCAGTAACTCAGCAGGAGAAAGATGAGGCTTCCGGAAACACTGACAGCTGTGAAAACTCTGTGGAGTCGTCCTACTCTCTCTTGGAGGGTCATTATGATGTGGAATCAACACAGTAGCAGTATGTTTGAGGCTTGGATTTTTGATGGTGGTGGTGATGGTGTTATTTTCCAAGTAGAGCTTTAAGTACATTATTAACATTCCTGCATTTTTATCTTCATTACACACCTTTAAAAAATTCGGTGCCATCAATTGATGCCACCTCATAGCAACCCTGTAGGACAGGGTAGAACTGCTCTGGTGGGTTTGCAAGACTTTAACACTTTACAGGAGTAGAAAGCCTCATCTTTCTCCCTCTGAGCAGATGGTGGTTTCAAATTGCTGACCTTGCAGTCACCAGCTCAACACATAACCACTACCCCACCAGGGCTCCTCCACTTATAGAAGAAGAAATGAAGGCACAGGGATGTGAGCAGTTTGTAACAAACACATCCTACTGCTTGTAAGTGCAGTCTGAGTCCAGAATTCATGTTTCCCACTACAGTTCTATACCATAGCTATAAAACTAAGGCTCAACTTCATAAAGGACATTTATGAAAAATCTGCAATGTCATACTTAATGGTGAAAGAATGAATATTTTTCCCTCAAGACCAGGAACAATTATGACTTCTCACCACTTCTATTCAGCTACTCTGTTCTACTTTATTGGAAGTTCCAGCCTGTGCGATCAGCTTAAGAAGGCATTCACACTCAGATTGGGAAGGAAGAAACGCAGCTTTGTTTGTAAAAACAAACTACAAAACTACCCTTTATGCAGAAAACTATATGAAGTCTTTGAGAAAACCTTCCAAAACTGGTACATGAATTTAGCAGGTTTGTGGGATTTGAGATCAATATAGCAAAAACAATTGCATTCATATAAACTAGCAATAGCAGAAATCAAAATTAAAGTCATTGCCACTTATAATAACAAAAAAAATGTACTTAGGAATTAATCTGACAAAAGATGTCTCTCTTAGTGAAAGCAATTTTTTAAAACTCTTAAAAAAGCTTAGGTGACTTAAGTAAATGGAAGAATATACCATGTTTATGATTTGATGTGCTAAGATGCCAATTTTCCCCAAATTGATCTATGAATGTGATGTAATCACCATGGTAATCCCAGAATTTGGATTTAGAAATTGATAAGTGAATTCTAAACTTCATGAGGAAATGTAAAGGACCTAAAACAGCCCAAATAACTTTGAAAAAGAATGGAGTAAAATAACTGATTTTGAGGTTTATTGTAAAAATTATAAAGCTGCAATAATCAAAACAATGTGGTATTGGCATAAATTTAGGCAAACAGAGTAAAGAATGCAGAAATAAATCCACACAGATGAAGGGGCTTCAGGGATACACGTGGTGGACAGCTAAAAAGGAGATGGGGAAAGGAAAAAAAATAATAATAATAATTGAAAAAAAGAAATGGGTAGCAGGGGCACAGGGCACTAACTCACCCAAGGGGAGGGTATTGTTTGTATCTCCACAGGGAAAGAGGGACAAGACTTCAACCCAGTGCTCCAAGATGTGAATGCAGCATGCCGGCATGGAGTGGGGAACCAGTGCAGAGGTCTGGGGGGCTGGCCCCAGTCCCAAATACTGAGTGGACACCTGCCCCTCCCCCCAGAAGAATTTGTCTCAAAAGACAGCATTGAGTCTGCAGCTCAGGGAGAGGGACATGTCTGAACGGAGCACAGGGGAGCTGATGGGGGGGTGGGGGTGGGGAGTTGTGGAGCACATCCTGGCCTTGAGGACTATGATCCCAATTGGATCGGCCACTCCACAGAGAGGACCACATGGCCAGCCCAGCTATGAGGCATGACAGCCCTCAATAACCCGTGGCCCTGCAGGGGACAACACAGGAGACGCAGTGTGGGAATTGCAACCAATTTGATCCCGCCACAAGATGGAGCAGCGGGAGAGTGGAGCGGAGAGGTCCCCAGGGAATGCTGAGGGTGGACTTTGGGGCTAGGGCGTGGTGCCCCAACAGACTGGACTGGAGGACACTCCTAAAGGCCAACAAATGATCCTTGAACTAACTACAGGCTTTTCTTTCTTGTTGTGTTTTGTTTTGGTTTTTGTCATTGGTTTGTTGTTGTTGTTATTTTGTTGTATGTTGTTGCTTGGTTTTGCTCTGTCTTGTTTTTGTGCATGTTATTATCTCTGCAGGTCTGTCTAAATAAGATAGGCTGTATGAACAATCCAGAGGATAAAACA